ACAAGACCCAATGTATTCATTTAATGTGGAGTCAAAAAATAACCCAATTTCTCCCACAAGGGCCTACATGCTTCCCAGATCTGCATAGAAGGGAGGTCAGATTAGTCAAAGGGAGGTCAAAGAATCAAAATGATTCTTGCTGTGCATTAATGACTCATGTCTGTAATCCTAGCTACTCAAGAGGCTGCGGTCTGAGTATTTAGGTTCAAAATCAGCCTTGGCAGACAATCGGAGACACTTTTATTTCTAATTAACTAGGAAAAATCAGAACTAGAGATGTGGCTCAAGTGGTAGAGTACCAGACATGAATAAAAAAGGAAGTGCATGAGACCCTGAGTTCAAGCCTTCATACTAGCACAAAAGAAATGACTCTTGTTCTGAAGCAATTGAAATCAAAGGCAAGTGTGACCCCCATGACACAGGTAGTCAAGGCTTTATATATTTGAGATGCTACCAAAATTGAAATATATACTTTACCACATACCAGTTGTATCCTTGAGAAAGTTATTTATCTGCCTATTGCTTCAATGTCCTCAGCTGAAGAAATGAGGACAATGGTAGGCACTTCATGACATGGCCTTGAAGGTTAAATGAGTTAGGGCAGTGTATGAAGTGATTAGCACATGGTGTGTGCTCTGATTGTTTGTACTTCAGGCAGAAATGAGGAAAACTCTCTGTGCCCACCTCTTCGAGAACTTTGCTGCTCTTTGACTTCAATGGTAAATTTATTTCAGCGGCCTGCACGCTTACTATTTCAACTAGACTTTACTTTTATTCTCTCATCTTTCATTGAAAATCATTTGCTTAAGAAGCTGTGCAAAGTGTCTTACAAATGGAGTTAGACAAGGGCTTTAGTACATCCTATAAATTGAATTCTGTATACTTGTAAATTATGCTGACAGGCACTCTTAGAACACAATGAGGTCAAAGCCATCTCATGGGAAATGGCCTTTTCATGCTGTACCCACGCCAAAAAAAGAGAAAGGATAATAAAGATACCATGCTGTGTGTTCGGAATTAAAGTCATTGAATTCATTCCAAGACCATGGCTACTTTTCAATTAATCTTCAAGGGACTAAATGATACAAATTACTAAAATGTACAATGATAGAATCTTTATTAAAAAGACAACTATGTTGCTGGGCATGATGGCACATGCCTTTAATCCCAGTTACTTAAGGATCAGAGGTAGGAAGATCATCATTTAAGGATAAAATGCTGGGCCCTACATGAAAAATGAATTAAAAACTATAGGACTGGAGATACGGTTCAAATGTTACAACATTCACAAAGTCCTGTTTCAATTCCCAGTACTGAAAACAAAATGATATGAGTATGAAAAGCCTACTATATGAAAATATGCTATAAAAGATAGAAAAACTGTTAACATATAACTCATGCTTTTAGAGGGTTTACAATTCCAGAGAGGGACCAAAATAGATATGCAATTAGTGCTAGGAAACAAACTATAAATGCCATGAGTCAGAGACAATGGTTAGCCTCAAAGAGCATGTTTGGACTGAATTTATCTAGTAAAATTTAACTTACCTATTATCATCATTTATGAAGTACTGGGCATGAGACATAGCCCCTTCCATAGGAGGTGCTCATATCTATAAATTTAATTCTTGACTAATCTTCAAGTTAGAGTAGAGAGTATAAATAGCTTCAATTTCAGAAAAAATCATGAATAGGATCTGGCTCAGCCAATTTTATCAGCTGATTTAAGCAAATAATTATCATCTCTTACCATTTGTTCCAGAAACCAATATTATCTCTGATATCCTTGTACAACTTCATTCTACATACAATGACCCAACATATGAGTCTTTGTTTATTACTTTGTTTGTTTTATTTTTAGTTTTGGTAGTCCTGGGTTTTGAACTCAGGGTGTTATACTGGCTGAGCAATTACTTGACAGCTGAGCCATAACTCTAGCTCTATTTTCTGCTTGTTGTTTTGAGATAGGGTCTTTTCTTGATGAGGTCTGTACTTGGACCTTGATCCTCCTATTTTTTACTTCTTGCCATATCTTAAATGACAGACATGAACTACTCCCCCACTCCCAGCTTTTTCAGTTGAGATGGGGTCTTGTGAACTTTGCTGCTTGTGCTGGCCTAGAAATGCTGATTCTCCTGACATCAGCCTTCTGTGATGACAGATTCATAGCCCTGTGTCCAGCTAGGGTTTTTTTGTGTATGCCCCAACTAGGGCTAGCCAGAAACCATAATCTTTCTGACATCAACTTTCCAAGTATTTAGTATTTTAGGTGAGAGGTAAGAGTTCAGATCAGTTTAAGAACTGCATACATCTTGAATAATCCTGTCTTCTGCATCCCTCCATTCTAACACTGGCCTTGTCATCTGTCACAGATTGTAAAACCTGACGGGCACTTCGTATCACTTAACAGGGCAGTTAGGACTTTAAATGAACGGAACTCTGAGTAAATTTTTAACTTCATACAGCAATCTTCCTCTGTGTATATGCTATGCCTTTCCAACCACTAGCCTCCTGCATGCCTCTGTGCCTTTGTACATGCTGTTTCTGAATGCTAAAGCCTGAAACGTTTCCCTATCCTTACTCCACTAATCGCATGAGGAAAACTCAAACTTCTTACTCTTCCCTTAATATTTACTCAATCACTTCTTGAGCTATGAGGCATGTGCAATTGCTACATTTACACATTTTCTAAACCCTCATTCGCATAATACTACTGTATAGGCCTCAATGAGATGAAACACAACTGAAGAGGCTGTTCTAGACATACTTATTGTACCCATGAGGTCAGATTTGAAGACTAGTAGCAAGAAAATGCTTTGGGATTGTAAGCCTTGGAAGGCTTGGAGAATATTTCAGGAATTTTGAATATGTAAATTTTAGTGTTCAGTGTTTTAATGCACATAGAAGGGTATGAATATTTTTAGGATTTACTCTTTTGTACTGAAGCATTTTGCTGGCTGAAGCTTTGTCTTTTCTATCCAAGATTTTTAGTGCAGTGTTTACAACAGAGTGAAGACTTCACAATCACATTAATTATTTGATGTAAAGAGCCTCTTGACTTCTAGAAGATCTAGGTCTTTTTCTCTTTTCCTTCTCTTTTCTTTCTTTGTACTAGTGGTTGGATTTGAACTTGGGACCTAGGTACTGTCCCTTAGCTTTTTCATTGAAGGCCAGTGGTCTATCAGTTTGGTAGCTAATTGGAGAGAAAAGTCTCAAGGGCTTTTCAAAAATACTCAGTCTTTGCACTCGATAATACATGGCCTAACCTGCAGCAAACCTTATAACAAATAGAAGTGTTGGTATTCATTTTCTATTCAACTTCTAGGTATATGAAAAACATACCTAACTAAGTATAGCTTTAAACTATAATGAAAAAAGCATGTGATGGTTGTAAAAGTAACAACCTGGACATCTTTCTATTTTCAAGTCACTGTTCATTTCAGATTGTCTGCGATGGTTAAGCTCCTCATTCTTCTGGCAGATTTCATGTATCTGAATTATTAAGTATAATTAACAGTACTTTCTGACATATTTCATTCTCATCTAAACTGTTTTATGTTGCCATGAATCATCTAAAATACAGAAAAAAAGCTTAAAGCCAATAAATTATGACTCACAGAAATCCAGCACCCAGTGGAGAAAGAGAAAAAAAGAAAAATCACTATTATTGCAGTCTGCTGTAAAGAAATATTTTCCCATTATTCTCGCCATTTATATTTATTGCTATAAATCTCTTTTTTCTTTTCTTTTTGTCTTGTTTGTTCGGTTATTTTGACAACAAGTAATAGTCAAGAGTCAGAGAAATCGTCACTGGGGCCTAAGTGATTGCTTTTAACAAGGAAAAGCTCTGAGGAGAAATCTTTTTGAGATCTTCAACCTGGAATCCCCTCTGCATGCTAAAAAAAAAAAGGCATTGGCTATATGTGAGGAACTCACAAAATGTGTTAAGTAGAAGAAGGTAGCCTGTGAGTGTAGCTAGAAATATACATATACATATGTGTATATATGATATTTTTAAGTAGATGTAGAAAGAAGTTGCCACTTATGTTCATGGATTTTAAGGCGTGGTTAAAGAAGGCAAACTTGGTAGCTGAAAGCTGGCGCATTTTTTATTTCTTCCTGGTGTCAGGTGCTGAAAGGTTGCTTCCAACCTGAGGCTCAACCTTTGGAAAATTTCAACTGGTTTTCAGCCAGTCCACTTGCTCGGGGTCCAGATAAATCCCCACCCTCTCCCCTCTCACCTCCCCCCTAAGGAAAGCAATTCTGGTTTCGCCGCAAATCCTTAGAACCACGCACGGGCTGGTCTCTCCGCCCTTCCAGCTCCCGGAGCAGCGAGCGTGGGGCCGAGCATTGGGCGCGGAACACGGGCTCCGTAGGGGCGGCGGGGACCATCCCTTACAACTGCAGTTGTAGCTGCCAAGGAGTAGCCAACAAGCACCAGATTTATGCGCACTTTGAAAGAAGCACCTTCACCATTGGTTTTTTGAGCGGCGCTGTAGCTAGGGAGCGGCCGATCGGGAGATCGCAGCAGCCCCGGGGTGGTGTGGTCGGGTAAGCCGGGAACGGTGCCGACCCGGCGGCGCGGACCCGGGACGCGCACCCGCGCTCCGCCCCT